AAAAAAAAAAAATGAAAAGAGAAACCAACCCAAATGTGATGACAGAATTTCCTGCAGAACCTCTGCTACATGAAAATGAACAGTAAATGTTTTAATTTAGCTGAGATTTCACTCCGAAGAGGAAGACGTACAATTTGTTCGGGATGAGTTGACAGATGGGAAAATTAAGTCCTCCCTTATTGTTCCATTTGCTGGATGCAAAAAAAAAACTTAACACTTGCAGAGGCCTGGGAGGGTGGGAAGAGCTCGGGAATATCAGATGTCTGGGCAAAAATTAGAGACGGCAGAGGCTGGGGCTGACCCTGGGAGATGCCACATGCTCCCAGCCTCTCCAAAATTCCAAAATTCAGCTTTTCCCTGGGCGCTCCTCAGCCAGCTCCCTGTGGGAAAGCCAAGGAATAAAGGGGTGAATTTAGCATTAGACCAAAAAAGCAGAATTACACAAGATCCTTTCTGTTTGATGTCTCCACCCAGTGAACTCTTTCAAAACAGCGACTTCTCTCTTTCAGCTGAATTTTCCTTTTTTTTTCCTTTTTTTTTTTTTTCCAAGTTGGAAGCCTTTAGCTAAAATATCTTTCTTTTCTCTGCTAATAAAGACAGACTGTTAGCACTGCTTTTTCCCTTCCCAATGAAGATGTCCTGCAGTTTTCTCCCGTCTGGGGACCCAAAATTCTTTCAAATGATACCAGGAAATAATTGGCACCTCTTGGCCAAAATTGCTGTGGAGTGGCTGCTCCTGTGCTCACATCTGGGCTCTCCCAAACAATAAATTATGGATTAATGGCACATCCTGGAGCAGACTGGAGGCCAAATTCCCCTCTGGGAACTGGGGTTATGACGGACCTGCTGTACCAGGGATGTTCCCATATGTCCAAGTAAAAATCAGCTGTGAAGTGATGGCCAGGAAAGGGGTTTAAAACAAAAAAAAAAATTGGGTTTAAATTAAAAAAAAAAAGGGTTGAAATTAAAAAAAAAGGGTTTGAAACCAAAAAAAGCACCCAACCCCCAGCAATATCCCACTATTGCCATGGTTTAAAGGGCTGGGTCTGGTTTGAGGTGCTCAGGACGCCGCGTTCCGTGACAAACAGAGGGGTTTGGTGGTGCTCGGTTGAGTTTGTTCCTCTTTATCAGCCGGGCAGGCACAGCCTGTCCCTTCTGCTCTGCTCCCCCGGGAGGGGCCTGCGGGAAAATCCACAGTGCTGCTGGTNGATCCCAGGGACAGAGCCCGTGCCCCTCGTGCATTTTGGGGCCATTTTGGTTCATCTTGGGTGCAGCCCTGGCTGGGCTCTGGTGCTGCCCAAGGTGCAGCCATGGAGGAGATGCTGGGAATGAATCCCTGCTTTGTTCTGGAGCTCTGCCCAGCTCTGCTCCAGCTCAGCCTGCCCAAGGCATCATGATCAGCGTGGGGCATTCCCACAGCTCCTCTGAACATCCCAGCAGGATTCCTGCTCCTCCTGCATCCATGGATGCTCGCTGGGAATGCCTCACTGAGAGACAAGCACCAGGACACAGGGAGAAATCATTGATTTGCCCTGAAATTCCCCCAGTTTCCTGGGATTTGTCACCACCGTGCTCTCAAGCTGATTGGGAAGGGTGGGAAAAGCTGCTGCCGTTTGGGGGGACCTTGTGAGGGACATCCTTCATTTCCCAGGGGCTGGGGAGAGTTCACAGCCTGGAGCTGGCGCTGGTTCTGCCCTGTCACAGAAACCCTTTTGTTTTCCCATAAAAACAGCTCCGGAGCCAAATTCCTACCTGTGTCCTGCAGGGTGTGTCCTTGCCACATCACAGAGCAGGGTTTGCTCCAGGTAACCCTGCCCTGGAACCTCAAGGGTGGCTTGGGGCTGCTCAGGAGAAGGGAAACCAACTTTTTTTTTTTTTTGTTATTATTTCACTTCTCTCACCAAAGACTTGCGTTCACAAATGTTTTTCCCAGAGCCTGGGAGGGCGTGGGATTGGTTTCACTTTCCTGGGGGTTTAAGGGCTGAGAAAGCTCGAACTCACCATTTGCTGCTGCTCCAGGAGAGGGAGGAGAAGGGGAGGAACTTCTTATCTGCCCCGGGAGCCCTTATCAGAGGCGGCCAGCTGGGTGACATTGGGACAGCAGGAGGGACGGGCCGGGGGGAGGACAGACAGACAGCATCTGCAAGGAAATAAAGCTGTGAGAGGAAAGGGGGTTCCTGCACCCAAAATGCCTCTTGGGACACCCAAAATGC